TTTCCTATTTCCATATAAATTCCATCTTACAGAACAGGTTTTCATGATAACCAAAAATCAAAGAAGCCAGAAGAATAAGAGCTGCCAGTGGCATAAAACATGGGTAGACATAGAAAATCCTGCCTATGCATAATCTGCCTGTGTGCAAAATAAGGAAAAAAAATAAAAAGGGGGGGGGGAAGCACAAAAGCTCAAATTGAATTTTTTTTCCTTTAAATTAGAATTTGACTTATTTTTAAAATGAGGCTATTTAAAGTTGTGATGAATACATGTTAAAGCCAGGATTTACAACATTTAATAATACAATTGGAGTTATATTGAAAGAAATTTATTTTGTACTAAGCACTCTAAGTTCAATTACCAATTTTGAGAAAAGGTAGAAAACTCTGAATTTGTAAAAGTCATGGACTAAGCAGAATTCATGTGTCTGCTCAACAAGTTTTTGAAACAAAACTGTTTACTTTGTTTATTCAGCTCAAGTGTCCTCCATAGTATATGTGGCATTGCAACGAGGACATTTTGTGTAATAATAATAATAATAGTAAAAGCTGCTAGGCAGAGTGTGTCTTCTAGAAGAAGACACACCTCAAAACATATGGCACCAGCCACTTGGGCAGCTGTGCAGGGAAACAGGCTGGGTTTATGAGCTTAAGCTCACTTCTGTGCAAAGAGGACCATCCACCTCCTGAACCTTCCCTGACCTCCAAATCCCAAAGCTGCCTTCACGTGACCCTGCACCTGAACCCATCAGCCGTTCTGTGTGAGCCAGCTCAGGTCTGCACCCAGGGCACAGCTCATCTGCACCCAGATAAACTCACCTCGGGCCTTGGGCAGATGGACAAAGCTCAGTTTGCCATCTTAGTCACTTTAGGCTGAGAATATCTGGGAGTTGGAGATCCAGGCGGACTTTTTTCTTCACTTCTAGACTCTGGGGCCAGAAGATCAGCTGTATTCATCTAAAATCTTGAAAACCTAAGCAATCAGATCAATTCAACTGCATCGTTTTCACAAATGCATCCTTGCAAAATAAGTGTATTTCACTTTTTATTTAACTTCACTTTCTGTGGGGGTAGAATCCAACATAAACACAATAATAACAACAACTACAGAAAAAGATGAGTGGATCATTTACCATTTCCTGCTCTGAAAAAAAAACTATTAAAACTATGTTTCCAAACAAACATATACCATTTAAATCGGGGCCTCCCATGCTGTGTATCCTCTAGGAACTCTTCTACTCCTGGCTAACATTAACAAAAAGAACTGAATGTAGTTTAAAGTAGTCACATTTTATTTAAGAGATGCAGTTTAGTATTTACCCAGCAATCAGAATTTATTTTCCTTAAAGAAAACAAACAAATATGAATTCAAAACAAGATTAAAACAGCTGCTATAGACCAAGGTTCCTTGCTTGATGGTTTAAAACATGCTCACTTTTGTACATCTTGTCCCAAGCTATTCATTCTGAAAGCTATCCACATAGGCTCAGTCAAAGGATTCCTTAATTACACTTCCTGCCTTATTCTGAGCCACAGATAGTCTTGTCAGTCTTGAACATCTTGATTATCCATACTTCTCAGCCTGCTTCTTGCAGAAAACTACCTCCATCCAATGTGACATTTCAGGAAAGAAGGCTCCATACAGGCTCCTTATTGACCAGCATGTCAATACTCTCCACCTCCCAGATCAACCCCTTCTACACAGCAGTCAGAGGAAAGTCTTTAATGGAAATTTCCACTGTCATTCTTGCTTTCTGTTTTTTCTAGGGAAAAAAAAAAGCCAAAACATGAGGTCATCCATGCTTTCCTCCAGAAGAGACATTAAACCTCCACCTAAAGCTTATCATTATTTAATTGTTGCTTTATGCAAGCAAATTCTCTCAATATAACCCAGTATCTGATCTTGCTCTACCTTGAACATGATAAAAGCCCTTGAGAAGGGCTGGTCCATCTCCATCTCAAACCTGCAAGATCCTGGACATCTTCCAGTTCAGCATCTAACTGGCATGCGAAAATGAAACAGGGCCTAGTGACAGTGATGGATGGTCTGCTCTAGGCTGTTGCCTGCATTCACACTGCTGGATATCCCTACAGCATTTGATTGCATAAACCCTGAAATCCTTTTGTCCACATTAAGCATGTTTGGTCAGCACTATGAGATCTAAATAATCTCTACAGAGGAAACTGGCAAACTAGTGTCCAGTGTAAGCAGAGGGTGTGCAGAGAAAGTCCACCTGTTGAACGAGACTCCCTGCTCTCTCATGACTATGGCAATATGGAATTATTTGAAGTAAACTAACGATTAAAACTTAAATAAAATTATCCCTTTTTCTACCCCTTACCACCATGTCAAGGGGCAAGGAGAGCTCTTGAACCAGAGATATCCCTCAAAGTCTGTGCTGTATTTGCAAACGCATCTGAGGCCTATCATCATGTGAGTCCACACCCTGACAATTACCTGAAGGCTGGGGAGATGTTTTTTAGGAGGGGGGAACAAAGAAGCAAACAGAAAGCAACCCCTTCCCTTTCTGCATGTAATACTTTTTTGCCTGCTTATCATCAATAGATTTTGGAGCCTTAAAAAGCAGCATGAAAGAGATGGGTCCTTTCTGCATGTCAGGCCTGCCTCTCTGCAGCACAGGCTGTGGTCTGCCCTCACAGTGCCCCTGGCAGAGGGGGCTATGATTGAGTGAAGTCTCATGCAAGGACATCATCTTCCCTTAAAAGGTCTGAAAATGCATCCTGACCCCTGCATGTGCCCTTGAAAACCAGGGTAGGGCCAGGAAGAAATGGTGAAATCAGAGCAGGAGAAGGAATCTGAGTTGGAGTTGATGGGGTTTTTTCATACCCAGAACATTTTGTTGGTTTGTTGGTAGCTTTAGGCAGCCACTTTAATAAAAAAATAGTCAAAGTTTAGGGAAGACACAGAGAAAGAGGTGCATGTGCGTGCATGCTTTTAGCAATGCCATTGCTGACAAACTGAGGCTGGATAAAGTACACTTCTTGCTTGGGGGGGATCTAACTGTACACCTTTTGCTACTGCAGAAAGAAAATGCAAAATAAATTTACAAAGCCACAATAAAAGCATGCTAATGTGTCAGGGGGCCTTTTTTTGGCACTAAAACCCTGAGAATCTGCCTGCAAACCCCTTCGGTAACTTCTGCATTGAAGGTTTCCATATGAGTTACCTCAGTTAACATTGGAAGGAGTTAAAGATAAAAAAATTCCAGTTGCAACCCCAGCTTAAACCTGCCTGTGTAATTTGGTCCTGCATCCCAATGCAGGTGTGTCAGGTATTTTTTTGTGCTTCTGGGCTTGGACTAGCCAAACACTTCTGTTCTAGCAGTCATGTGCCTGTCTTTCTTACCCACTCCTCCACCCCACTGATTTCTTTCATGATCATTTCTCGAGCCCATCTCTTCAGGGTGTTCTCAGTAGGGAGAGGGGAGTGAACATCTAATCCCTGGTTTTTGGGTCAGGTTTGTGGGAGGGCCTTTTATTCCAGGAGAAATTCAGGAAGCCTGAGTGAAGGAAAACAGTTTGCTGTGATTAGAAAGTGAGCAACAAAACAAAAAGGCAGAGGCTTTCTGGGTAAAGTTTCCCCAGGGAATTGCTGCAAGCCACAGTCCCACTATGAAGATGCTTTTCATTTACAATCACAGTCATTCAGGTTGCCAAATCCCCCACTAAACCATGTCCCCAAGTGCCACATCTACAGTTTCTCTAGGTACCAGTGTGTGTGCTTCTGGTCTTGATAGAGTAAACAATAATCGGGTTGTATTTTACTTCACCCACAATGTATTTCTAGAGCATATTTCTGCCATTAACAAGTGGCAGAAGTGCAAGGAGCATGAACACATCTCAACATACATGCAGGAAAGGTTCATCCAGCATCTCAGTCATGGAGCTGCCTGCTGGCAGGAAAAAGTCATCAGCACCAGAAACTTTAAATTTTCTTTCCCAGAGTAAAACCAGAAACATTGCTCCAGTGACACACTGTCCTCTTCTGCTTGTGCAGGCAGCTTAAGGCTGGGGCTGGTAACTGCAGCCTGTGTGCCAAAGCCTCTTGATGGGTGATGCAGCTGGCAGGACTTGGATAGGATCCTTCCCCTCAAAAGCTGCAAAAACAAGACTGGTTTACTTTGGGTCTTTAGGTCTGTTTTAGCATTTGATAGAACACATGGCATTATAGTCAGGAGAGTCTGCCTCTCCCCCTGAGACGCTGCCCAAGGAGTAGACAATAACAAGTAGCATTGATTTATTGCTGCAGAGGAGGTAGAGAAAGAGGAATGTAATAAATGCTGAGGAGATGAGAAATGCACCCATTCCCTCACCCCGTACACACTCACAGGCACTCTGGAGAGGGAGAGGAGGTTATCTGCCATGAACCAGCACATTGCTGAAATTCTAATGAAACAAGAGTCAAAGCAGGTAGGAAGGAGGTGGTAGAAATGCTGAGCTTGATGCCCATTTATCATCTTCAAATGCTGAACCCAAGTTGGAGAGGAATGTCAAGAGAAGGGCATTATTATTTGCAAAAATATTTTGTAAGAAAAATAGAGCTAGCTATTTCCTATGTGTAATTAGAATAAATAAGCTTTATTCCAAAACAAATCAAACCCCCTCTTTGAAGGAATACTAATAAGCTTGGCAGAACAGGCACACAAATGTTAGAAAACACTAATTTAAAATTACCTTTGATACCTTAATGCATCTCCCATACATACAAGAATTATGCAGACATGGTTTGGGTTGTCTGATCAGGCAGTATTTTCCCACACAGCTCCTTCCCTCAGTACACAAATTAGACCCACTTTGTGGCTATGGCAGCACCTCTTCTTCATGTTATTCCAAAAGCTAGAAGGGAATAAGATACAGGACTGTGGGACACAAAAAAAAGTACAAATTTACATCCTTGGATATTTTTTCCAGAGAGTTGGGAAATACTGTTCATCCAGGTTTCTCACAGATGGGTCCTAATTGTGTCCTTTTACTTTCCAGGTGCCTACCTTCCAAGCCCAGTGGTTTGGTGTGCAGAAATGCTGAGCTCCCAGTCTCAGCTGAGACAGGCAGAGAGATGCTTCAGTGATTCACACCCTCGTGTCGTGCAGTAAGTGCTCTGAGAAATCAAGCCCCGGTGGGTTCAGGCTTGGCAGCTGCAGTGCTGACTTAGATGCCCATTTGCCAAATGACAGTATCATGATATCTCATCACAGAAAAGTTCTGCTAAAATGAACCAGCTAATGGCTGGGGAGCTCTTGTTCTGCAGTGGCAAGGACTATAGAAAATCCCATGAAGAAAATATTTCAGGATTCAAAGAGCATGGTATAAATCAGGAATATAGTGGAAAATAACAGATTGAAATAGGTGCTTGCCAGCTGAGACATGTTTTTCTAGTGCACAGGATGAGGCTGAAGGACTTTGAATACATGAAGAAACCCCAAGTGCGTGTGTGCAATTAAAGACAAAATTAAAGGGAGTTAAGTACTGTTGCATGACATCCACATGACTTATCAGCAGGGTAAACACCATGATGTTGAGATTTGCCAAGGCAGCTAAAAGACCACACCTGTGGGGTGAGAGCCGGTTCTTACACTATGTAAGAGATAAAACATGCTGTCAGCAGTGGTTTCACACATAAACACTGACAGCAGTGGACTGGTGAAATTTAGGAACCAGCCCAGTCCAGGCTATAGACTAGTGTTTTCTCTTGGGTGCAAAACTTTAAATGGTTACCCTTGTACTTTCTGCCCCACACCCTAGCAGTTGGCTCACTGCAAACTTTCCTCAGTCTCAACAATTCAGTCCAGTTCTGTAAAGCCTGGTGTTTGGCCCATTCTCCCACTTTAAATCATGGTATACTGCCTGTGTCGGCCCACCTCACCCAGGCCCTCCATCACTCTTCCCACAGTAACCATCAATTTGAGTTGTGCCCATAGAGTCCAATTCTGTTTTGGTCAAGGTCTGTTTTCCTTTCTCTCATACAATTATCTTTTCATTTACAGAGCACTGGAGAGTTTCAAAGGGTAAGTCATATCATTTTTTTACAAACCAATCTTTTCCCTCAATCTAAGTCTTGGCCATGAGGAACAACTACACAAAGCTTTTCTCTCTATCTAAAGTAATTCAGCCTCAGGCAAACACCTGGACTGGAAAACTTTACTCCCAGTGGTCAAATTTTGGCAACAATGTAAATGACTCGTAAATGAGAAATCTTAATAAAATGCAAAACTGTCAGAGCCACCTGTAAAAACCTTGAACTCTGGACAGAGCTCAGCTGCTTTAGTGTCCCCAGCCTCAGATGTCTGTCCCGGCCATGTGTTGTGTATTTGAGCTCAGAGCTGGGTATGCACCAGCCCCCCATTTAGCTCTGTCACCCTTGTTTCCATCAAAGGGAAAGCTGCAGTGTAACCTGGATGACTGTAGGGCCAGGACCTCCTCAGCTCTGTTTCCTGAGCTGGGTAGGTATGAACCCCAAGAGATGCTCTTTGAGAGACCTCCTGACATGTCCCAGTGAGGACAGTGATGGAGCCATGGACTTTTATCTTCAGAGGCAGGCGGGAGATGGTCCCTCAATCCCTCGGGACCTGCTGCCCTAACAGGTCCCCAGGGGTACTTGGTGGTGACCAACATGGTCAGCAGGGTCTGGCTGTAGGGTGTGAAACATTCCCCTCCATTTCTGACAATGTGAACACCCAGCCTTCGGCACACGCTGTTACACGCTAATGTAACATTAAACATAAACTGGAAATAAGTTAAGGTCTCCAGCTCTTTCTCCTTACTGTGGACGTACTCTCTGGCCTTGGGCAAAATGCTAAATTTTTCTGGGAACCAATTTCCTCAGCTAATAAAGTCTGTGGTTGGATGCAATGAAGATCAATTTATTAATGTTTGTGTAGCATGGGAACGTCCTTGAGGGGAAGGCTCGGGGGAGAGCAGCATTGTTACTCTTATCTCCTCCAAGTTAGTATCTAACACCTCTGCTCAGCCTGACTCAGTCCCCCATCTAGCCTTTTGCCCACTGGAAAGTATAGCAGAGTTTCTGCAGTACAATGAAGCATTGGAAATAAACCGAGACAGGGATTTATAGCTGCACTTTCTTGCAATGTGTTATAATAGCCAGCATTATTTAATCACAGAAACATGATCTGGCCACAGCTAACTAGCTTTGCTCAGGTGTGCTTGTAAATTTAATTTGAGTTCCTCTACCTTGTGCAGAAGTTGAATGCAGGCTAATGTGTGTGCTGGAAAAATAACAAATTGTATTATGGTATAGAACAGGAAATCTTTCAGATTCACAATAAAATAATGCAATTCAATGCATGCAGTATTTATATAGCACCATTCAGAAATATATTTTAAATCTTTTTACAAACCACTCACATGCTATACCACAGCCAACATGTCAAATCCTATTAAAGAGAAGAAAGCCATTGTAAAAACAAGTCTTCAATATACATTTAAACAAAGCATTCATTGGGAGAGGAGCCCACTAGCAATTGGAACTATATAGTTATTATTAATACAGGTCCTGATAAGAAACTGAATCCATGGCATAAAATATTTATCCAGTATGTTCTCCGCATAAACACCAGTATAGTGGGTTTTATTTTAAAAACAGCTTCCTGAATGGCAGGATGGATGGGTTTGGATGCCCTTTTCCACTTGCATTATCCCAGCAAAAGAAAAAGGAAAAAAAGGAGGGAAAAGAAGGTGGAACAGAGGCAAAAGGTGTGACAAACTCAAATCCTCTCCCTCACTATGCTGCCCTTGTGGTCTGCATGGTATCCAGCGCCTGATGCTTGCTGCTCACTCCATTGTGTTCCCTCACCCACCCACTGACACATTGCCATTGATCACCCACATAGCTCTGAGCATTTCCACCCTCCCTGCACTGAAAGCTTTTGCAAGGCAGCTGAGGGACCAACCACTGTAATGGGTCATGTGGTAGGAGGAAGCACATTTTGGGCCATGCACATCCCTCTGCATCAGCTCTGGGGTCTGACAGACCCGTCACAGCTGCCTGGCTGGGCTGAGGTCCCTGCTCCTGGGGACAGAGGGTGACTGCTGCTGTGGGGCTTTGGCTGAGAAAAGCATAGGCTGCTTGGCTGCTGCATGATGTAGCTTCTACACTTCTGCCTTGGCAATGCACCTGTGGCAGAAAGCATGGGAGAAAACCAGACAAAAAGAAAACCAGAAAACTACAGAAAGAAACCACTATATTGGGAATGCACTGTTTGGTAGTACAAACAGCTGTGAAGAAAGGACAAAAAACTGCCCTTGAAGTTCATCCTGACTTGGTTGTAGGCAGCCTTGCTGCTGCCTTCAGAAATATTTTTACAGTCCAAAATGACTAGAGAGTATCTGTGTTGGATTTATCATAATAACATAGAGCATGTGCCAAAGTAGTATGTCTAGCCCTGGAAACAGAAACGACCTAGCTTTTCATCAACAAAGAAGTTGGAGAATAGTATACAAATATTAAGTATTACTGACTTCTTTTCAGATGCACCATATGAGTAAACCTGAATGCTGGTTCACTTGGGTTCCTGGAAAACCTTATCTCTAAATTGTAATGTCAAATTAATATAGTAAAGAATTTATAACTTGTGCTTCTCAGAGGTTGTTTAACAGCTTGGTTGCTTGCCAGCAGTGCTTTGTCATTCACTACTTCCCACTGGCATTATCTTAAAACTAATACCAACAGCCAGTTGTTCCAGAGAGCTTAACTGAAATGTGCAATGCTGGGAGACACAGCCAACACACCAGTTCCCACTTCATGTGCATTTATAATTACACAAGAAGTGGTGCTTATTGTACAGTCAGCTCTGAGATGACTCACCTTCTCTCACTCTGCTATGCCATGCTGACTTTTACACATATCGTCTATCTGCATGGATAGCCAGACTCATCCTCTCTAACTCTGAGCTTTTTGGCTGGGATCCTTAAATTACAGCCTGTCTTTGCTTTAGGCTCTTCCTACAGTCAGAGCAGGGGAACATGCACCTCACGAAGGCGGTTCTGCTCCTTGGTGGGCTGAATCATTGCCGGAAGGCTGCACCCCCTCCCTGTTGCTCCATTGACTGGGGAAGGAGCCCCAGGCAGGGCTGGCAAGCCTGCTGTGTGCCTGCCCCAACCAGTCCTCCCTGCTGCTGCCAGTGGGCTGAGAGGAACCTTGGAAGGTGTGAAAGTCTTACTGACGCTTGTCGGCAGTGACTCGACTGCTGGCTTGGGCAATCCAGTTAAATAAATAAATGTACACAGCCAAGCCCAAGATGACTTAGGTGGCAGCCCCACTCTGAATTGGAGAGGTGCCCCACCAAGCCCCGGAAGCTGCAGTCAGGCTTTCCCAGCTTGCAGTGGCTGAACTTGCACAGTCAGTGCAAATCACACAGCCCCTGACCTCATGCAGGGCTCTCCCCAGGCTGTTTCCAGACAAAGCCCTCATTTCACCTCTCCTTCCATCACAGAACTTTGCCTTTGCTTGTTTCCCAAATGCTTACCATGTCCCTGCTGCCTGTTTCCTCAGCTGCTGCCTCACACATGCTTCTTCCAGTGTTCTGTGGGTACACCCTCTCCCTGGAGCATTTCTCTCCTGCATTGCTGCTGCTCTTTCCCACCAAGCACGATTTCACCCCTGAGTTTCAGACAGCACTCCAGACATTCACCAGACTCCAATTCTTTGGGGTCATGTCCTGCAGAAAGCATCCACTGCCTCCAGGGACCTCAAGTCCCTTCCTCAGTCATGGGGAAGATGAGAATTAATCATAGAGCTGCAGCACTGGCTTTTGGTTCCAGCCACAAACCAGTCTATGGTTGGGGAAAGAGAGTGGAGCAGCCCAAGGGTGTTACAGATATTTTCATGGAGTAATGGCTCCCCAGTACCTTGGTACATGGAGTTACCTTCTCTAAACATCTGATCTGCACTGTTCCGCCATCCTGTGTCTTTTGGGTATGAGGTAGAAATCATTTTCCTTAACTTTAAATGTTTCTAAAATGAAATAACTTTTAGGCAGGAAATCTCTGCTTGTTGGTGTGAAGTTACAGACAGGGACTAAGGGGTTTCTTGTGTAGGTGTGCAGGCTTCTTGGCAGGAGGCATACAATCCTAAAATGGCAGCCGGATTATGGAGTTGACGTGGCAAGTGTGCTGGTCCACAGGGTGTAGGATACTGCAGGCATGTGACAGCCCAGTCCTCTGGACCTGGGATGCAACAGGGGATGGGATGCAACATTCTGGGATGCAACAGGTCCTTTCCACAGCAACAAAAAACCAAACTATGTATTTTCCACCCCAATCTTTACTCCTCATGTCTGCCATCAAGCCTAGAACAACCCAGATACTCCATAAGCAATCGCCTGTCCACATTAGAATAACTTTATGGTCCCAGCATTATTTCCCCCTTCTGGTCTGGGCAAAAAATGAAGAGCAGGATTTTTGCCTCTGGCCTAAGAGACTAGAGTCAGACTTTTCATCCTTGCTGCAGCATCAACTACTGTAACTATACACCATGAGGGAGTTATTGCATTTACAGAGAATGAGCTCAAGGCTCAGTGTTGAGGAGCCTTGCTCACAGAACTACAAAGAGCTCTGCATGGCCTATTAATAGATTTGGTCATGGCCCAGTGCAGCTGTACGCCCACTGAGCAGGACAGTATGTTCTAATGGTGTTTAGTTGGCTGATTACCACATCAACTTATTTTTTTACCCCCATGTTACTACTTCATTTCCCTCCTACTCTTTCATGCTGCTGATTGATCCAGAGCTGTGGGTAGAGGAAAGAAATGTATTTATATTACAGCATAACTGATCTATATTGCCAAGTTAAAGGTGTGTAATCGAGCAGGGCTGCAAACGGAGGGCAGGTGTATTTCACAGCTGCTTCATCTCTGTTGTTTTGCTCCCATGAGGAGCAAAGCAGTATGTGGGTGGGTTGGGGAGTGGGAAGGAGCAGGTCAAAGCACTGTTTGTGTGACATACCAATGACAACCAGTCAACTCTTGCACCTGCGTGCCAGCCTCGGGCTGTCAGAAGCATCAGAGACTGAAAAAAAATCCAAAATGTAACAATTTATGCTCTAGTAGGCCATGTATGTGTGCATAACAGCACCTCAGCAGAGAAAAAGTTCCTCTAGTCCAAAATACAGCACAACATGGAAGATCCTCATTACCCTGATTTGTCAGAAATATGTATATTGTCCTCCCTCACCTCCAAACTAGCTTTCCAGGCTTGGAAGGGCTCTCTGTGCCTGTGAAGGCCGGCCTTGCCCAGCCCATGCAGAGTTGAAAACCCCAGTGTCACCATGGCAGGGCTGTGGAGCTCAGGCTGAGGTGGCTTGGCTGTTGGTGATAAAAACAGAATGTAAGTCCAGTCTTTTGAGCAGTGTGGGGCACACAGTTCACTGACAAGGTAGGCCAATGGTTTGTGCTTTTTTGGGTCCATTCCTTGCATGGGCAGAGCCAATAATTTGGAATCACAGAACAGCCTGAGTTGGAAGGGACTCAAAAGGATCATTGAGTCCAACTCTTAAGGGAATAGTCCATATAGGGATCTAATATCCTGAACTGGGAATATGTCCCAGTTCAGAGGAGCACCCAGGGTCACAGAGAGTGATGCTCTGTGAGCTGTGTCTGGCTCATGTTTGGTGGTGCAGGCTCTGTAACTTTCCTTGGTGCGTCAGAACCCTTTTGCAAGAACCTCTGACTCAGCTGTGAATCTTACTGTCAAAATCCTTGTACAGGATGTTATCCTTAGGAAAACAGAGGTTTAGTTTGGTCCCAAAATGGATATATTTGAATCCACACACCTGGAGTCTTCTGACAGCAGCACTCATGGTGCAAAAAGCTGCAGAGCTGAAAGATCCAGCAGTTACCTTCTTAACCACTTCTTACAAGTGCTGAATAGCATCACAGATATTTTGAAGGTGACATTTTGAAGAACATTTCCAAGATCCTTTTGCCTTTTCAGAGTTGAAGGAGTAGCTAGAGCAAGAGAGCCACGGAAGCCAGAGCAGCAGCAGCAGTGGATGGTGCAGCTGAGGTGCTGCAGCAGCAGAAGCACCAAGTCTCACAGCGAGCATCTGGCTCTGGGATAACACCATTAACAAAGCAAGAAGGCACAGAGCAGAGCTCTGTGGCAAGTTCCAGGCAGGGGAGCCAGGATGTGGCAACTTCATGAGTTAGCCCTGCTGTGATAACTCCACAGATGCATGCTCCTCCCCTAAGATAAACCTAAGTTTGTCAGTGCACATGGAATAAGCTGCCTCAAATTTTCCATGGAGTAATATTTCGGAGACCAGGCAGTCATGCTGGGAACTGTTGCCGTTCTAGAAGGTCACACCCAAGTTTGCCACAAGGTCACTTTTTCACATTGCCAAGCCTACACAGGGGAGAGGAGCCAACCCAAATCGATGGAGGAATGCAAACAGAGTGTCTCAGCCTGGTGTCCTCATAGTCACCTCAGCATAACCCTGTGGGTGAAGAGTAGATGAGAAAGGAAAAGAGAAAGGCAGAAGGAGAGAAAGTTCTGTGAAGCAGAAAGGGGAAGGCATTTGGACTTTTCTCAGTTGTTGCATGGGGCTTTCTTTTTAAGATAATTATTTTTAAAATACAGGCTCTGCAGCATGAGATAAATGTCCTGTTGTTCCTGTGGGATATTTAAAAGTGACTCATTGAATATTTCAATAGCAATGTATTGTTCTAGAGATGGAAGGCTTGACAGTGAAAAAAAGACTTCACTAAAAATAAGGAGCGGGCGGCAGTGTGTCTGAAAATTCTGCTCTACAGCCCAGTAGGCATCTTGAAACTCAGCTGTATATCTGTTTTTAAAAGTTTGGCTTTATTTAGTGGTATAAGTTGGCAGTGGCCTCTTGATTTCCACTGAAGTAGACTGGTTGATACTGGAGAAGGAATGAATTTCATTATGTGTGTTAAAAAGAAAAAAAAAAGAAAAAAAAAAAAACCTGGAGGTTTTGATGTGGAAAATGACTTCTCCCTGACGTTAAGAAATACCGTAACACTGCCCCTCCCTATAATTCCTGTACCAAGACCACACTTTGTATTTCAGGTATAGCATGATGTCTGGAAAGATGAAGTTCAGAGACTTCAAGAAGTGATGAATTCGTCATACGCCCTCAGGACTTATTTCAATGCTTAATTAATTGCTGTTAAGATGTGCACCTTATTGCTAGCTGAAACATGGTTATCTTCAGCCTCCAGCCATGGGATCTTGTTATGTGTTGCCTGGTAGATTAAAGAGTCTCTACAATAAAAATCTATGCAAAAAATTCACTTGTTACAGAATGAAAATTGGGTGAGGCATATCAAATTGCAGGTTTATAGGTCACAGGAAGGTTTTTGGATAATTTTGTGCTGATTGCTTGTAACAAATGCTGACACCACATTTAGAAAAGAATGATAGTTCTTCTCAGTAATTAGGGAAGCCTGAAGGGCCTGAATATGAGTATGGTTTCAGATGGACTGTAAGCCTTAAATTTGGAGGATAGTTTCCAGCACTATATTTTTCTTGAATGGTTCATCTGGGTTTCTTATCTTCTTTGCCAGGTGAGTCACTTCCAGTGAAAAGTGCAATTGTTACAAAGAGCTCAAGAAGAATAAACAAAAGACATGGGATTGTTCTCCTCTCCCTAAAGTGAGCTAAAATCACAGCTTTTGCCTGGTCAGGGTTCGGACACATTTGGAACATATTCACTCCTCACGCTCTGCATTCTTCTTGCAAATAATACATAATTATGGAGACATAGCCCTAAGTGGAAAAGGCTATTTACACAAGCACATACAGCATACAGAAAATAATACTTCTGACATGCCTGCTTTAGAGATATTTAACAACTTAATTTCTTTTATTTTCACTTGAGGTCTGTCCTAGCATGCTAGTAGCTGGGCTCTAAATTGCTGCCTTACAGGGATTTCCAAGAGCATTGTGATTTTTATTATTGTTTGCTGAATCTCCTCCAGTTTACAGATGTCTCTTTTGTACTGAGGCACCCTTGTCAAACCACCATGTAAGGAAAATCAGTAACGAGGTAGTTGCTGTGCAGCATAACACTTTTCAATTCCTGATGCAGGGAAAAGGAAAGCCAAGGAATAGGATGTGTGACACTGAGCACTGTGAAGCCTCCAACAGCCAGAAAACATCACACAATAATTGAATGATTTGGGTTGGAAGGGGCCTTAAAGGTCATCTGTCTCCAACCCCCCTGCCATGGGCAGGGACACCTTCCACGAGACCACATGGCTCAGAGCCCCATCCAACCTGGCCTGGAACACTTCCCGGGATGGGGCATCCACAGCTTCTCTGTGCAGCCTGTTCCAGTGCTTCACCATGCTCACAGTAAAGAATTGCTTCCTAATATCTAATGCAAACCTGCCCTCTTTTCCATTTAAAGCCATTCCCCCTTGTCCTATCAGTACAAACCATAGCAAAACGTCCCTGTCCTGTAGCCCCCTTTAGGGACTGGAAGGTGCCATAAGATGTCCCTGGGGCCTTCTCTTCTTTGAACAGCTCTGATCATCTCAGCTTGTCTTCACAGGAGAGGTTCTCCAGCCCTCTGATAATATTCATGGCCCCTTCCAGACTCACACCACCAGATCCACAACCTGTTAGGCCCCCCAGAGCTGGATGCAGCACTCCAGGTGGCATTTCACAAGAACAAAGCAGAGGGGCAGAATCCCATCTCTCACACTGCTTGGGATGCAGCCCAGGACAATGTCCTTCTGGGCTGCAAGTGTACATTGCCAGGCCATACCCAGATTTTCAGCAACTAACACCCCCAAGACTTTCTCCTTGAGATTGCTCTCAAAGAAGAGGTACCTCACAGCCTACCTGTCTCCTTCAAACAGGGCACGCAATAAGCTCTGCCCCCTATGCGGAGGAAACTGGATTCTCATCCCCCATCACCTCAGAAGCATCTCCACAGCCTTCAATGCAATCCTAAGCACTACAGTCTGAATTTGGGGCTGATGTCTCTCTGACATGCTCACTGACCTCTGTGCAAAAAGGCAAGGCTCACAGAGCTGCCAAGAGAGAGAGCAGGCAGGCCAGGAAATGACGGTGCCCTAGCAGGGGAGTCCCTGCCCTGGGAAAAGAGGAGTGCCAGGGCCGACTCATGCACATTGCATCATTAGGTAAAACAAATAAATAGTGTTTAAAGTAAGGAGGGGAGTTGGTTGGACTCAAGCATTGGCATGCTGCCTCAGGTTTTGTGGATACACTGCAGGGTGTTTTTGAACCTGAGCCTCTTCCTACCCTTAAAATGGGGACATGGTACTTTTCTTGTATGTAGCAAAACAAGGCTCAAGTGGGAATACTTCAACCAGGTGCATGAAGCCCGGGAAGTGCCTTCAAGACATTCCCAGTGGCAAGAAGTCAAGCAAAAGATGGAGGAGACCTGTGTGGATGAACAAGGAACTGCTGCCCAAACTCAGACTTAAGCAGGAGATATGTGAGGCGGAAGCAGGGACCACCCACCTGGGATGAATATCAGGATATTGTTAGAGTATGCAGAAATGCAAGTAGGAAGCCCAGGGTTCATTTGGAATTGAACCTTGCTAAGCATGTCCAG